TATCTATCTATCTATCTATCTATCTATCTATCTATCTATCTATCTATTGTATTGTATTGTATTGTATTATATTGTATTGTATTGTATTGTATTGCATAGCATTGCATTGCATTGCATTCTATTGTATTGTATTCTATTCTATTCTATTCCTTCTTTCTCTTTCTTTCTTTTTCCCTTTCTACTAGTACTAATTTCCTAACCACAAAATCCATCCTGATTCACACCTCCCAAAGCTGAATTTTTAAAAGTCTATGAAAAGTTTCTGAGATTTTATTCCCCTCCCCACCCCCAAAAATGCTAACTTTGACTATTCTGAGACTATTTGGCCTTGACTGACAAGTTCATCAATACCTGGCATGGAAACCTCTAATTTTATAGGAGTGCTGACTGCCTATGGACATTCAGTGGTAAGTGGAAAATATGCACATATCTAAGTAAAAAAAACAAACAGCAATGCTGAGCCATGCACCAAACCAACAGACAACATTATAAAGGGCAGCGCACAGCAAGTTTTCTAGTTGCTCTGGATTATCTTATTTTCAAGAAGCATGCTTTCTGCTTTATTCCTCACCTCACTGTAGGTATCTGTAGGTGGATTGGCTGCTTCCATTTCCCTCTGATCTTCATTGTGTTTCTGGATGGCCAAGGAAAGCTCAACTGCAGGCAAAATGGAACAGTTAGGATCACCTTATTGTCCAGGGCAGCAGCCCTTTAAAAGGCGGAGCTCTGTTTCTCCACCCAGTGGAAGGAGCTTAGGAAGTTATAAAACCAACTGGAGAAGCAGCACTTACAGTCGCACTGGGTCCTCATGGTTGCAGCCCAGGGGAAGCGCTGTTTCCATGAATGCTTCATCCATTGGTACTGGGAAGCCATTTGCCGATCCAGCTCCTTCCTCTCTTCAGTTGTGGATTTCTCAGGGTACACACCAAATAGGAACTTCCAGGTGATTTTTCTTTCAATGGGATGTGTGCCTTGATAGAATGATGATAGCCAGATGACAGATTGATGATAAATCAATGAGAGCTCAATAATAGCAGTTAGCAATAGCAGTTAGACATATACCGCTTCATAGGGCTTTCAGCCCTCTCTAAGCGGTTTACAGAGTCAGCATATCGCCCCCACAATCTGGGTCCTCATTTTACCCACCTCGGAAGGATGGAAGGCTGAGTCAACCCTGAGCCGGTGAGATTTGAACCGCTGAACTGCTGAACTAGCAGTCAGCTGAAGTGGCCTGCAGTACTGCACTCTACCCACTGCGCCACCTCGGCTCTAGCCAGCTAGATATATTCCCATGCAGCTTCATGAAACCTTGGTTGGGAAGTGTACATGTAGTCTTTGACTTACAACCACAATTGAGCCTGAAATTTCTGTTGTTAAGTGAGACATTTGTTAAGTAAGTTTGCTCCCTTTTACAACCTTTAAGTGAACCACTGCAGTTGATAAGTTAGTAACTCGATTGTTAAGTGAATTTGGCTTCCCCCTTGATTTTGCTTGTCAAAAGGCTGCAACAGATGATCACACGACCATGGGATACAGCAATGGTCATAAATATAAACCACTTGATCCTGGGGATGCTACAAAGGTTGTAACTGTGAAAAATAGTCATAAGTCACTTTTTTCAATGCCGTTGTAACTTTGAACAGACATCAAATGAACTGTTGTAATTATGCCTCACATCCTATTGAAGATCTTGAAAAATACTGATTGGGTGGGGGGAGGGAACCAAGGGGAACAGAGTCTCCCCCCCCCCCCAATTTCCCTCTTCCTAGGTAGCTGCTGGAGGATGTGGTGAAGTATCCAATACTTTGAAAGCTGGTTTTAAAGTGTTCACTTCAGCTGATGAAATGGCAAAATCCTGTTTACACAGCTTGTACTGAGATTTTCTGCCAAATAGATTACCCTGGCACAGAATTTCATCGTTAATACCAAACCTGTGCCCCATCCTCAATCCATGGTTCCCAAACTATAGTTAAAATCTTTCTGTTTTGCTGCTTCTTCTGCTTGGAAAATAAATCTGTTTTCTGCAGAAATGAATACCATTTGGTTTCCAACAAGCTTGGCTTCATTTCTACCATCTATGAAGTTAATTCATCATGCTGGTAGATTGATCTTAGTTCTCTCCTCCACCTAGTGGTCTAGACCAAAGAAATCAAATCACACATCAGGATAGGGTGATTATAGATTGATCATCACCCAAATGAGGTGAGTTGCTACGGGTTTACCCGGGTTCAGGAGAACCTGTAGCTAACGTTATGGCCGGTCCGGAGAACCTCCAAATCCCACCGCTGGATGGCCTGGCCCCATAAATTATGGATCACAAGACCAAGCTGATTTTAGACTTTGCACAATCGTGCTTTCCTATCTGAATCCCTGTAGTCTGCGAATATATTTTAAATTACAAAGCAAAACTGCTTATTCAGGGGCAGCTTAGCATTCAAGGAATAATCATACAAGGTATGCTTAGCACGGCTTCTCACTTGAGAATAGGAAACACCTTGCCAACTCATACTGTTTATCCCCCCAAACTAAACTTAGCATAGCCTGCGACAATTTAAGCAACCAGCAAGCATCTCACCAGGTGTTTTATCTGCCCAGGTCTAGACTCTAATGCTTTAGTTGGCTTCTTCCAGGGATCATCTCTGGATGCATAAGGGCTATAACTCTCCAAACACCTAGGCCACACTGGCTAAGAATTTGGGTGACTCCAGTCCCTGCACATCTAGAAAGCAGCTAATTGGGTAATATTCCTCTATGGGAACTGAGGCTGTCGCTGTTACAGACGCTGTGAGTTTGCCTCATTTTGTGACCTTTCTTGTCACAGTTGTTAAGTGAATCACTACAGTTGCTAAGTTAGTAACATGGTTGTTAAATGAATCTGTCTTCCCCATTGACTTTGCCTATCAGAAGGTCACAAAAGATGATTGCGTGACACCTCCCCCCCACGACACTGTAACCATCATAAATACGAACCATTTGCCAAGCTTTTGAATTTTGATCCTGTGACCATCGAGATGCTGCAATGGTTGTTTGTGTGAAACATGGTCATAAGTCACTTTTTTCAGTGCTGTTGCAACTTTGAATGGTCACTGAATGAATGGCTATAAGTCAAAGACTATCTCTACAACTGGGATGTTTGATGCACCTACTGCCTGTTGTTTTAGTCTCAAGCAAGGCCTTCTTTTGAGAAGGTGTTAAACTTCCATCCCCACAATGCTTTGCCAAGCTGAAAACTCCTGTTTTAAAAAGGCCAAGAAAGACTGCTCTAGTTTCCCCTCTCCATAACAACAACAACAACAACAATAGCAACATCCCTTATTTCAACAAATTGATGTAAATTATTCCAACATCTATCAGACTGAGAGCCAACCTGATGCCCTCAAGATGGTTTGGATTGAAATTTCCATAACACAAGGCCATCATGCTAATTAGAACTAATAAGGATTTGTGGTTTGATATATTTCTGAGGCACCCACTTGCCTGAGTTTAATTTGCTGTATAAGATCTGTGGTCATCTGTGGGATTCGTTAGATAATTCCTTCCCTATCTCTCATACTAAAGAAAGATGAAAAAAGCTTTCTGCTTGCATTGGTCAGAACCAGCTCTGCTTTTTTGGGGTGTCTACTGGGATCTTCTCACCACAGAACTGACAAATGTAAGACCAGGTTTCACTCTTTGCCCTGACGTATCCCATCTTTACCTCTCTCGTAGACCAGCTTCCGCATACCAAAGACATCTAACCGGCCATCATTGTCAAACAGGCTGTAGATAGATTTAGAAGGCAGTGTTGTTCTCCTTCTGCCATCTTCCCTTGGCTTATTTGTAGCGCGATTCTTCTGATTAGCATCTGCTGTCTCTCTTTCATCCTTTCCTTGGAGTGCTGTGGGCTGAACTTTCATTCTTCATGTGATCAAATAAGAAAACATGCCAAAACAGTTAAGACTATAAAATCAAACCACGACTTGGAAAGTTTGTTTCACACATCATTTTGGAGGCATCCTGAAAATGACTAGGAGCAGAAAAACTGCGGCTAAAAACCAAGTTTCACTTCAGTGCAAATGATACGTGTTTGAAAACCTTATTGCGGTTTTTAATTTATCGATTTACCCAAACAGCTGTATTTAAAGGCAGTTCACTTCCAAAAAAAGGGCAGTTTCAGTGATGGAGTCCCCCACAACTGGTTTTATTTTTGTGCAAGGGCTTTCGAAATTTATCATGTTGCCCCTATTAATGGTATGCAAAAATCTTCTATCCGGGTTTTTTTTTAAAAGGCTTTGTTTTGTCTGTTGCTTATCAGTGTTTGGCTGTTTATCCGTATAAAAAATTAAAAGCATTTTAACTGTTTGAATGGTACATTAATTTGAGTGCTTTTTAATGGAATGCAAGGAGAACTTTTAAAAATAACAGATTTAATAACTGGCGGTAAAATTTGCAACAATTCAGTGAGCAATGAATATCTTTGGCAAAGTGAGTCCTTTTTAGATACAGCTATATATTCTTTCCCTTCTGCACCTATTATCTTCCCTGCTCTAGATGTTTAGCTTGTTCCTAGAGGTTCCCACCTGAAAAAGCATCTCCAACATGGAATCAATTGCAGTAAGCGGTTATTGGAAAGTTGCTGGAATAACCTCTGGGCCTGGTAGTCTGCAAACTGCAACAGGAGTGCAATGGTTTCTCTGTGGAGAATAAGGATTGGATTAGTTGTGGTTTGGTGCAGACATGACATACTGCAGTGATGAGCAGACCTCAAGCGTCTGAGATCAAGTGGTCCATTATTGTAAGTTCAGCGTTCACCAATCAAAACCAAAAGCAAAATCAGGTGCTGTGTGTGTGTGTGTGTGTGTGTGTTTTAATCCATGGCAAAAATTGCAAATTGCATGGTCATTCCCAATCATATTAAAATACACACTTTATCAGTAGGTGAGTTGGTGGGAATTCTGGTTTTATAACTTACCGGGTTGTTTGAAACCAGCTCCATAAGAGCTGATTCACCAGATCTGTAGTGTGTATAACCTTCATCCCCTGCCTCCTGGTGCTGTAGGCATGGGAACTATGGCTGGATAGACATGATTTTCATGGTCCCAGATTCCTATCTTAGTTATCCACCTGCTTGTCTTAACATCTCTACCTAACAACGTTACCAACATTGTGGAATTTTCAATCCCCATGATGTCATAATGGCCCTTTCTGTTATAAGAAACTCCTCAAAGCACCAATTGTTTAGCTTTACAGTATATTTACTGATTTCTCTCTCTCTTCATTCTGAGCACTGGTTCATGAAGGCCTGCTTCCCATTCCATATGTGGAAAAGGGAGTAATTTAAAAGCACAGTTTCATTGTTTAGGATTAAAGACTGAGAAAATTAATGGAGGAGAAAGAGTAGTTCGGAATGTGGGACAAATTGCTATTTCATAATGCAAAGAGCGCAGCTCGGGAGGAAAAGGGGCATGGAAGAAAAAGAAAAAAGTGAGAGAAATTAGAGTGGAAGTAGGAAGAGTGAGAGAAGAAAAACTATGACTTATTTATGGAAAAAGGACAGGAGGACAAATTATCTCCCTGGACAGTCAATGGAATGTGCAAATAAGAAAAGAAGGTACGATGGCTGTTTCGAAGAGATTCAAAATAAGTAGATTATAGGGTGCCATGGAAGTGAGTGGAATTGTGCTAATGGAAGATATGAAAATGGATGGTAGGCAGTGGTGCAGTGGTGGGTTGCAGGCGGTACGCCCCAGTACGGGCGTACCGGAGACTGCCCAGAGGAGATGATGATTAGAAGTATGCTAATATTGCCCCACTCTAAAAGGGAGTGGTGGCAAGAGTGAATGCCTAAACTACAGGGGGATTAGTTTAACAGCGCCTGGAAAAACATTTGCTAGAACTCTGATTAAAAAGATGCAAGTGATGACAGTGAACAAAAACTGGGAAGTACAATTTAGGTTTAAGCCAGACAGAATATGCAGCCCATATTTTACTGTTCAGAAGGTACCAGAAAAATGTTTGCATCTGAGAAAGCCAGCCCTGGATATGTTTTGATTTTTGAACATTTTGCATAAGTATACAATTGAATGTTTCTTGTGGAATGCAATAAAAGTGATATGCAATAGAGATAAAGCATGTGGCCATCAATGGAATGGTTAGCAAAATGTTCAGTTCTAAGTAGGGAATAATTAAAAATAAACAATAACAGTATAAAGACTGTGATGATGAAGATGATGATGAAGAAGAAGCGTATTGGCTAGAGACACACAGGTACATGTCATTTTACATGGAGGTGATGCCGTGTTGCTGGTTGAGGATCCCAATGAATTGCAGTAAGTGTTGGACAGGCTGCATAATGCTGCAAAGATAAGTCTAGATTGGAAAATTAATGCATCAAAGATAAAGGGAAATGCATCAATCACAAGGAAATGGAAGAATTCCATTCTGCCCTTGAAGAGCATCCGGCGACTTCAGCTAGTCCAGAACGCGGCCGCGCGAGCGATCGTGGGTGCACCTCGGTTCACCCA